GGAGGGAGGGAGAGGGAGGGGAGGGAGGGAGAGGGAGGGAGAGGATAGATAGATAGATAGATAGATAGATAGAAGATAGATTAGATAGAGAGAGAGAGAGAGAGAGAGAGAATTATATAAAAGCCAAAGAAAATGAGTCCTGTAAAACCAAAGTATGTAAAGCAGATCAGTTGTGAAGTCGGCATTCAGCAGCTGAGCAAGTAACACCGTTAATCCCTTAGGCCAAGAATTTACCAGAACTTACGCTGGAAAGCAATGACTAGATAAGTCAAGGAAGGAACCGTGTACCTGATACGAATATTGTGGCTAAGAGAATAACAATAACAATAACAATAACAATTATTGAAAGACAAAATTACTGTATAATGAATATTGTTTTTTTTTTCTGTCATGCAACATACATATTTATTTAAAATCTAAGACTGAAACTAGCGTAATATACTTGGATTTTTCTCAACTAACAAAACAAAAATATCAAACGAACTGAAATGAGAGAAAATCCGACTCATCAGAATCTGTACACCTTATACGTATGTCTCAGCTTCATTAAGAAATGCCATTTGATGCATATAGGAATTATAATAAACCCTGGATAGAAAGAAGTAATAAAAACAATACGAATACTTGTTTTGACACTAATTTAAGGAAAACAAGCTGTTTGAGTTAATTGTTCAAGGGCAACTAACGAAACCGTCCTTTGTAGCGATGATAACGAAAACGTTCAAACCGTCTGTTTTGTTAATCAAATGACCGTTCTGTGTTCATGTCTTTATCCCTTCTTCATTGATGACTTCATTTTGACTTTTTTTGTTTTTGTTAATAAAATTTTTTTTATTCTTTTAAATTTGTAAACGAAAAAAAGTCCCTGCGTCTTGTTTTTAAGACATGTTAAACAGGCAGTCTCTCTTGTAAGAAGGTTACAGATGCAATTTACTTCTAAAATAGGAAAATTCTTAGGATTAGTCACGATGCATCTCTTGTTTATTAATTACATGTTCCAAAAGATACTACTTGCGTCTCTGATATTCGTGAACGCCATTTCCTTGAAGTTTTCCAGTTAAAAAGAAAGAAAGAAAGAAAGAAAAATTCTCTTGAATACTTTGTGGTTGTGTTTCATGTCCTGAAGCTATTGTGCCAACTG